AACGGTCCTATTCCTAAAGTAGAGATTTCAAAGTAGACCGTTCAAATAACTCAACTACAATACGGAGTGTACCCTACAAGTTATCTATTCAATAATGTTACTGTTATTCGAGAGATTGCTCAATTCAATGCATAGTAATGGAAATATTTTTTATTTCGAAAAATGAATTAGCACATTATACGGAACTAAAGAAAGCATAAAACCAGACATAAGTAAGTTTTCTTACGAGTGCATATTCACCAGTCTCAAAAATGCGTAAATCCAGTACCTGAAAAGGTTTCCATTAGTCTCAAAAATACAAGAGCCATAATCAATTGCGCTTTAACTTCTGGCTATAACAAAAATAACATTATTTACACTAGAAATTAATAAATTATGTGAAAAAGTATGAAGAGGCTACCTCACCGCGGTCTTCATAAATATAATCTAACCCTTTGTAATAAGGTGGATGCCCAACAGATAGATACTGAAATTGTTTAAAACATCTCAGTATATATTGCAAGGAAGAAGAAAAAGAAATGCAAATAATATATAATTTATTGTGGAATTAATAGCACATATACATATGAGATCACAATATAATCCATTTTTCATTTCTTTCTCTTGTTTTTCTCAGTAATTAAAGAAAATATAAACCAAACTGTCAAGATACTTACATTAACACTGTTAAGATACTTCTCTTTCTCCACCCTCACAATCTGACCCTTCTTCACTGCCCAAAGAAAAAGCTATTAAATAAACAAAAGCACAATTAATTCTCCAAAAGTATTTATATATATAAGAGATTTATTCAATTTACAGAAAACTTGGTACTTACTGGAATAAACAGGCTTCTTGGGAGGCTTAGAAGCTGTGGGGGTTGAAGGTTGAGTAGCATTTGTAGACTCTTGGGTTTTAGCTTGTTTGAGTTTCTCGGTCTTATCAGGTTCTGCAGCTTTTACAGCTTTAATGGACAAAAGATGAAGAGGGTTTCTTCTCAATGTCTGTGGGAGCCGAGAGAAGGATGAGAAGGGGTTCTGAGACAGAGTAGTTGCAGAGGAAGCCATGGCAAAGAGACAGAGAGCTTTGCTGTAGAATGTGTGCCTATTCAGATTTCAGAAACCTCTCTCTGATAGTCAGTACCGAGTACAGATAAGTCCTGAACAAAGAATCTTTTATTTCGAACGGCCAGCGTTTGAAGACAAGAAGAGTCTGGGGGTTCCGGGTTAGAGCATCTTTAAGGGAAATGTCTTGGAGATGTCAAACATCAAAGATTAAGGGAAATTTGGCGAAATACTAGGGAAATACCGCAAAAATACCATCAAGGCCATACTTACTTCTCCAAATACCATCCTTGGTTGGACATTTTGGGAATACTATCTATAAATACATATTTATTGGGCCTTATCACTTTTTCTCACTTTTTCTTTTCCCTCTCATCTCTCTCTTTGCTCTCTCTCAACTCTCTCTCGCAGTTCTCTCTCTCACTTACAAAGTCCATTGTCGAGAACCAAAATTTGGGCAGATTTGGCCCTTCAGTCATGAATGGAAGCTATCAGAAAGCAAGCGACTAGGCTTAACAGGTTGCTAGGCAACAACAGTTACTTTCATACCAATCCTAATTCCACCAGATACACCTTTTATTTAATCGCTTTCACTATCTGCACTCTATTCTGATTCCGTATTTGATATTTCTTATTTTGACAAATTTTCCCTTGATTTAGCTCGACTTTCTTTTCCCTTGTCTTGTTTATTTTCTTGGTGAAATTTGCAATCTTATTCTGCCTATAATGCTTTATTTTCGTTGGGTTTAGGCCTCATCATTTGG